TTATAATTGGAAAGTCGATGCATAATAAAATCATTGAAAGCTCTTTGAGTTACTTTGGCATTATTAATACAAAGTGATGTTAGTATTTATTTAACGATATGATGACCTGCTGCATCCTAAACTTGAGTCAATGTAATGCCTTCCGCATGTAATTTCTTAGTTTTTGCAGTATTGCCTCTGTAACATTCTGATTTTTATAACTTATGATAAAGGCATTAAAACCACAGGATAGAAAACAGACTAATCAATATATTGCTGGACGTCCGTAATTTTATTTCTTTGTCTTAAGAAAAGAGTGTTTAGGTTAACTTGTAAAGCTGTTTTGAAGAAAATATTCAGATAACTTGCCAGATATGGAGCTTTAAGTGTATTTCTTATGGAACTAATAACTAATAACGTAAATCTGATTTTCCTAATGCATAATTTTCACGATTCCAGCATGCCATTAAAAATTGATGGACAAACACTGTTAAATGTGGACAATGTTTGATTTTTTTCCAAATTGGTCATGTTACAACATTCAACAAACAAACTTTGCTTTATGGTTAACATATATATAACCATTTTCAATTCATTTTGTCATAATTTTGTTATCCGGGGAGGGGGCAAAACATAAACAAATTCACAAGAAAAGTATGATATTTTATTTTTAAAGAACTTTTTTATTTTAAATTAAAACGAAAATAAAATACACTTATTGATAATAACACCACATAAAAAGTATGTTAAGACCAGGAAGCTAATATTTTCTTGTATACGCTGTTATGTTTAAATAAAAAATTAATGACACGTCCTGTAAAAAAATCAAAAATCTATATAAAATATTTGTAAAGTTTCGGGGAAAGCAATTAATATATAGCAGAATTATAATTAAAAGTTGTGTTATGAATTATATAATTGTTATGATATTATATTAATGTAAATATACTCTGCAATATAAAGTGATATACACGTTGTAAGAATGGTAACTTAACCATGCTTCATATTATACCATAGAAGCTCTACACTATCACGATGTCTTACAACTGCTTACCTTAGTTGTCAAACCTTTAAAACACTGATAGAAATAGCAATGACTTTCATTGGATGATTCTGAAATACCAAGGCAGATTTGTTGCGGTAATTGCAAAAAGAAATAGAAAAAATAACCAACCTAAAAGTTCACTTTTAAGTGTGTTTGTTAACACGATAATTATAAAAATTATATAAAAGATGAATTTTAAACAAACACGTCAAAAAAAAAAGAATCTTTTATTTCTCATAGTTTTTCAATAGCACAATTGAATTTAAACAAGAGAATAACGATGGCTTTTCATAAAAGTAAAATAAGCTGGTCGGAACTGTAATTTATCTATTCATGTTTGCACTCTTTATGTCATTGAAATATTGAACGTTTTTGAAACAATTTGAAACAGCCAAGTTTTTCTTTGTTTATGCTTTCAGAAGGAAGCCGAGTTAAACTCGCCTTTAAGATCCAATAAATTTATGTAGTCTTTTTCCTCTTCCATTGTAATTTCAATATTTTCATACAGGTGTACTGGTTCTGTTACTTGTCTGTGAAGTAAATGAAAGTATAGGCTGTTTCTCCATTGAAATGTTTCTGTCAGATTTATCATCCTTGTACTGGAATAAAATTGATTGTTTTGGTGTTCTTTCTCTTTTGTATCATAGTCAAACATAAAAACACGTTCCCTGTTGTCACAATTTTAAACCCCGGGGAAAAGTAACCAATGATCGAGCATCTGAATATGATATTTCTGCCGCTTTCCCTTTCTCTGCCATCACAATATGTAAGCCCCAGCAAAAATGAGCCAATCAACGGTTATGATCTGGAGTGCGGGTAACTGATACCTGCACTCCAGTTACCGCACTGTGCATGTATATGTATACGATTTTACTCTAACATTTTTTCAACAGAAAGGTCCCCAAACTATGATACAATTAACCTTCAAGGCACATATCTTTGCAACATAAACTAAAGAGTGCAATCAACTTAACAAAATGCATTACATAACATCTAATTAGGAATGACACATTTTAATATAAGCTATATAACTAACAGCCAATGAAAACGGAACCAAAATGACCTCGTAAATGAACTCACACATTTTTAATTATGAGAGAATGTTTTGCCTAAATTTCATCCGTGATTTCACCAGTATATTACATATATTCTTCTAGAAACGTATTAAAGTTTAATAAACTATGAAATTCTAAATAAAATAAGGGAGTGTTGACATAATGGTCCAGATCTCCGACTCTCAACCGACGAATAGTCGGCTCAAGTACGTCCTTGTTGATTGTTGAACAAAGATTGTTTGTGAATAAAATATTATTAAGTTGATTTACCCTAAAATGAGTCCTTTATTTGACAATTTATCAATCACATGTGCAAGAGACACGTGGAACCATTTCATAACATAATCAATGCAGTGTGCAATGGTGGGACGTACATAAGTCATTGCAATGAATTCGAAATTACAAATTATTAGGCTTAATTATAAAATGATCCTTTTTAATTTACTTACCATTGTTTTCCAAGCAGATTTTGTCAACAATATGGCAGACGCACATGTGTGTACATATATACTTCTATTTGATCCATACATAGACTTAGACTGCCAATAAGCAGTAAGCAGTAGGAAGTGAGCAGCAGGCTGTCCAGTGTGCAGTAGGCAGTGAGCAGTAGGCTGTCGTTTATGGAATTCCGTAATTAATAGCGACACACCTTACTTCTCAATAGATCAATGAAGATTGCTCGTACATAACAAGTTTGTAATGATTGTTTTAATTTGTTGATGACATATTGAAAGACTAGTTTCTTTAATATATCTCTAGATTTCTAAAGTATCGGACAGATTTTAGAGGAAAGAGCCAGTATTTTTCAGTGGAATTTTCGAGGGTTATCTCCGGTTTTCCAGAATTTGGCGACATGTGTACGGCAAGTAGACCCGAATCCCGACCTGTCTACAAGCTTAAAATATTTATATGAATAAAAACATTTAAAACAAAATAATTTAATACGATATATCACAGACAAAAGAAACAGCTTCCTAACAATCCGCAATATTATAATAACAAGGTTTATCCCCTTAAGATATACACTCGTTTAATTTTGATATCATAATTACATCATTTGTTTTTAGCAATTTCCATAAAGGGAAAAGCACTGTCATTAGAATTAAATTGGGTTTTCATTTTAATATTTAGTTTCCGAAAGTATCTATATGAGAAGATTTCATAGATCATTGTTATAAAATATCACGACTGAAAAGAAGTCTTGCCGTAATAAATGCAAAATTCCAAGTTACCGGTGTTGAAAGATTGTTAAAATGAATAAATATCTAAATCTATTATCAAAACAAAACATATATAAAACGATTATGACAATTAAAAAAACACGTCAATTTTAAACCAAAATTAAACATGTAAGCGAGTTTGTAAGGTGACATGTTATTTCTCAGTTATGACCATTCAGATGTCTGCGCACAGGAGCAGATAAATGCATTCCAATTTAAAAATTGATAAATTATTCCAAAATTGTAGTGATTAATTTTGACAATTTTTTTTTAAAAAAAACCTAGTAAGAAGAATCACGTTAGGTCAAAAGTGACATAACTTTGCGAAAATTGATGTATGGATTATCTGCTTTTATGCAAAAGTGTCATTTTTGGAAGGAAATTTTTAAAAAAAAAATGTCCTTTCTATAGTAACGGTCTGCAAATATTGAAAAGAACGAACAACACCTAATTGAATTCTCTTTAAGCTCAATAGAAAACTAGTAGTTAATGCGACCAAGAAAGTAGTGCAGCAGAACTATATGTATACTTTCAAACGTGGATGACTTGAAGAAAAAGATGATGTTAAAAAAAACTTGAAATGATGATATTCAATGTTAGCTTACATCAATGGAACATAATCTTAAACGTGTACGAAAAAACACATCAGTATTATTACGCATTAGGCCAAAGAAAAATTTGTGTCCATGTACCTATGTACAATAAATTGAATATAAATAAGGTGTAATTTTGTAGCAGAGATGCTGAAAAGTTCACATATCAACCGATTTTTTGTATATATTTAGCAATTTATTGAATAGCATTTTATGCCACCGCTGATTTTTTTACGTCGATAACTCAAGAGGAAACAATGAATACAATATGTGGCCTTAAAAAGGCATACTATTTTCGCAAAAAAATGGTTCGCAAATTATCATAGAATCAAAGCGTTTGAAACAAGAATATTATGTAAATGATAAAAAACAATATTTCAATACAAGTCTTTCAAAAGTATTCTGGAATTAACGGATGCAATTTGGTAAAACTTGGTTTAGACTAATAAGTAGGGCACACCGTATGCCATTGTTCCGACCATCGACAGAATAACGTTCGTGTTTTTCAGATTTCAAGACATAGATTTGCTGATGAATAACATCGCAAAGGTTTGTGGAAATGCTTTTATTTCTTTGTTCAAAATCGTTTTGTGTTTGCAGATGTTAATTTGTTAGACAAACGAAATTAGGTCAAGGATTGTTTACATAATTGAATTTACAGGTAAACTCGGCTCTACACCAACTCGGGACAAGTCAACTCGGCCCTCTATTAAAACCATATATTAGGACATAGATTGTTTAGTTAATAACATATTGTTTGAAATATTATCTTTTAAATAAGAGTTCTATCTATTTGTAAGTATCTTTATTCAACTGTATTACACAATGATCAAGATCTGAAAATGATAAGAACAGAAACTATAATAAACTGATAAACTATGACAATAATCCTATATCTCCCCCCAAGTCTTTTAGGAGGCAGTATCTATTTAGTTTATGAACATAATGAACTGAATGAAAAAGACTGATATTTAACTTAAAAGTAAAGAAACACATGATAATATTAATAACCAATGATTTATCATTTTCTTATAGAATATTGACTGTTGAAAGTCTTCATTTATTCACTTTATACACTGATAGTAGAGTTCATGGTGTGTGCATTTATTCACAAACAAAGTCTTTTTTGCCATTCTGTGGCATGTCTTATGCGGCTGGAACGTCGTGGCGGTGTGGAAGTAGACTCAACTGTTGGCGATGGAACAACGGTTGCTTTAGCACAAGGTGGGCCTGTGGCAACATCTGGCAGTGAGATGGCATCTTGAGTTCTTGGTTCAGAGTATGTGAGCTGACGACATGGGCTTTGTACCTGGGTGCAAGTAGGTGTCTCGTGTGAGGCTTCCATGGCAGGCGGGCATGCAGGCCCGGATGATTGTTCTGGCACTGTGACCGTTTTCGTTGGAGTTGTTAATCCAGGCTTCACTGTTGTGTCCGTAGTAACAGTAGGGGAAACAGAAAACGATGGTCGATGTAGCGTAGTGTCAGTGTCTATGCTAAGCCGCTTTGGCGGCAACTGAACTGGAACATATTTGCGAAGAAATTTCCTGTTCCTCAGAGTGACACGTCTAGAACCATCAATGCGCACAACGTACTGGTCAAACTGGCGCACCTCAATTACTACTCCTGTCTTATCCCACTTGCGAGGGAATGAGCCAATTTGGTTCTGCATCCGAACGTGGTCTCCAACAGAAAGAGGAGGTAGTCTTTGTGTATGTTCCGACAGTCTTTCTGCACATTGCATATGTCTGTTGCGCAATGCCTCTTCACGGGCAAGGGATGTGTTTTGCCATGTTAAGTGAGGCTTGTATTTCCCAGGTGGAATTGGGATGAAATCTCTGATTGGTCGACCAAATATGCATACAGCTGGGGAGAGCTTCGTGTCTCTGTCTGGTGTATTTCTATATTGTAGCATGGCTCGCTGGAAAGAGTCTGTATCAATGTCGCCAGAAGAGCTAGTATTGTCCATTAGAAGGCGTTTGACTGTCTTGACTCCAATCTCTGCTCTGCAGTTGCTGTGAGGGAAGGCTACTGAGGATAATCTATGATGCACACCCCAGTCACTTAAGAACTGCCTTGAAGCTGTAGCTGTGAATTCTGGTCCCCCGTCAGATGCAAGTTCATCAGGTATCCCGTATGTAACAAAGATGCGTCTGAGGCAAGTTAACAGTCCTTGAGCTCCAACGGCTGACTGCTCTACGATGGGCCAGTTTGAGTAGCGGTCCACAACCACCAGGTAATGGTTACCTTTGTAAGTAAAGTAATCAGCACAGATGCACTGGAAAGGATACTCAGGGCTCATTGGTGGAACTGGTGGAGCACTCGGGTTGGACGGTGCATTGCGGTTGCATTGTTGGCATCCTGCACGAAGAATGTTTATGTCAGGCGTGATTCCTGGCCAAAACACAGATGTCTCAGCTCGAGCTATCATGGATGTAACACCTTGGTGAGCTGAATGTAAGGCATCTAGAACTTCCTTCCTGAGTGATTGCGGGATAACTACACGGTCCTTGTACAGAATAACCCCATCAGTGGTTGACAAGCCTTCACGGTACTGGAAATACTGTCGTAGAGATTCTGGTACTTCATGACGGTGCTGTGGCATTCCACCTTCTATGATCTCACTCAGTAGAAGCATATCCTGGTCACTGGCTGTAGCTAAACGAACTCTATCCCAGGTCACCGACTTCAGGCCAATGGTGTTCGATGATGCAACAGCAGTTGAAATCATGTTTCCGTCTCTGCCACTTCTTTGAATGTATTGAGTATTTGAATTTTCCAGATGGAGGCTCTCTGGAGTTCTGTGATTGGTCACTTGCGCAACATCATCAGGTAAGATAAGTTTTTCTGCATCACTAATAGGATGGCGTTAAAGGCAGTCTGTAGCACGATGTTTGACGCCAGGGATGTGGACCATACGAAATTTGTATCTTAGTGTTTTCTCCTTTAAGTTTCTCAGACGATTGTTGGAAATGTCCTCAAGAGATCGGTCACTGAAGATCTTAAGAAGTGGTTTATGGTCAACCGCAATGGTTAAGTCCTTGCATCCTAATACAAAGTATCTGGCCTTGTCCAGGGAGTCTGCAACTGCTAGTGCCTCACCCTCGATAGGTGCATAGCGAGATTCTGCTGAATGAGTGAATCTACTGCCAACAAGTGTGATCTTCCATCCAGATGGACAACAAAAAGGTTCTGTCTTATCACATTTAGAGTGTTTCTGAAGGAGCCAGAACCCGATACCTGATTTAGACCAGTCAGTTGTCAAACATGTGGGTCTATCAGGGTCAAAGATGCGAACACCTTCTTCTATTTCTTTTACAATCTGTGCTTTTGACTCCTCAAATAATGTCTGAAGATGTTCATTCCACTGGAAAACAGTGCCTTGCTTCAAGAGATCCCGAAATGGTAACATGCGCTCTGCCATACTGAAAACATATGACACCTGATTTACAAGGCCAAACCATGAACGCACGTCTGTGATGTCTTTTGGTGTGGGAAAGTCCATGATGACTTGCAGGTATCTCTGACAGGGTCTGACTTCATCATGAGTGATTTCGAAGCCGGCAAACTCGACCTCATCTGCTCCAAAGACAAACTTTTCTGGGTTTAGTGTTAAACCGTTCCTTCCACAGACGTCAAGCCAACGCACTGCCTGGAAGAAACTTTCTTCTAGGTCATTTGCCCAGAGTAAGGCGTCATCAATACACTTGGTTTTGTTTGGAATGTCTGTAACTACCTCATCATAGCGTCTTGTGTAACCATCACCTGAGGCAATGTAGCCTTGTGGGGCGGTTTTGTATCGGTATCTTCCCCATGGCGTGATGAATGTTGTAAGATGTCGGTGTTCTTCATATAGTGGGACACTATGATAGCCATTCCAGGCATCAAACACTGTCTTTTTCTTCCCATTTGGAACCGATCGCGCTTGGAGGAATGGGGAAGGTGTGTGATGTGTCTCACGTGTGGCATGTGCATTGAGAGCTTGGAAGTCAACTGTTCGTCTGAGCTGTCCATTTTTCTTAGCGCATATGACCATCCGATGGCACCATGTGACAGGTTCTCCAATGGGGACTGGTTCCAGCACGCCCAACCGTACATCTTGATCAAGGCCTTCTTTTACTGCAGCTCGCCAGTGTATTGGAACGGGTACTGGTGTGTGATAGGCCACTGGTTCAGCGTTTGGATCTACCATAAGCTTCATAGGTGGGACATCCATTAGAGGCAGAGGCTGGTGTTTACATGTGTTGAATGTGCTGGACCTGTAGTAATCAAGAAGATACTCCTGTAGTTTTGAGCGGTTTTCTTCTGTAGGTGAAAATGGCAGAACACTTGGCGGTGGAGGTGGAGATTGGCGCTCAGGACATCCGCATGGCGCAGTGTTCTCTCCATGGACAGCTGCGGTACCGGTTTGTAAGGGCTGTATCTCAGGAAACCTATTGCTGATGATACCTAGCTGTACACATGCCTCTCTGCTCAGAAACAGCTTGTCTGAAGAGTCTGTAACATATGTCATCTGCCTCGTTTCCACCACTCTACCACTACTGTCTTTGCTTGAGAACCGTAGTAAAGAGGCTCCAAGAATCTTGATACCGTCATTGTTAGCTGTGTGCATGCGCATTGTCACAGGGATAAGGTCAGATTTAGATAGTCCTATGCGATGAATAACTTTAAGACCGGCAAGGCAGCTCTGACAACCGGTGTCAGCCATAGCAGGAACAATGGTGGGCGCTGACGGTGTTGGCAGGTCGACTCCAAAGGCTGAGTAATCTTCTGGAACAGCTCGCACAGTAATGTTCACAAATGGCTGAGGCTTTGAGTTTCTGCGAAACCACGTGTCTGTCATGCTGTCATAGATGTGATGATCTAGTGAAATACTTTGCCGGTTTCCGGTTTGAATAGTGTTTAGATTGTCATGCTGTGGTTGAAGGGAATTCAGTGTACACAAGGTGTTAAACACAGCCACTTTTTCTTTGTCAAAGTTGTGTTTGGCTAGACTGTACTTGGCGTTTTGGGTTGTCCTTGCTGCGGCAGATATTCTCGAAATGGTGATCTCGATGACAAAGTTCACACTTGTGGCCATATGCAGGACACTGAGTCTTACGCAGTTGTGCCACACTTTTCTTGCATGACCACGTTCCCACAATAAGAACACAGGTCTTGATTGTCCTTGCGAGGGCTTGCTTGGACCTTTTGTAGGAGCTGGCTGCCTCAACCGAATGAGAATCCAAAAGCCTTGAAGCTGAACGTTTCCCTGCTTCCTTCTTTCGCTTCAACGAATTGAAATACTTCCTCCAAAGTCATATTTTGATTTTTGTCCCCAAGTAGGGTCTAACTGAATATCAGGGTCAACAACACCTCGTGTGAGGACGTCGCGCATGATGGCATCTGTGTAGTTGATTTTGGCATTACAGTCAGGGCAGTCAATCACGAATTTGCAAATGTCAGCTTGTCCTCTGAGACGTGCACCAAAGTTTCTGACTGACTCATCACGGTCTTGTCTCATGTTATGTAATGTCACACGAGCAACCATCGTGTTCTCTTCACGAACAGCAAGTTTTCGAATGGCGGCTAATACATCGTCTACTGCCTTTTCAGTTAATTTGCCAACCTGTTGTTCGAGTCAGGTCTCTGCGTAGGGGTTCGTCACAACACTCAATCAACTGAATGACTTTTTCCTTGCCCTTCAGTTTGGTTGCGCCCACATAGTCTGTCCAACGTGATAGAAAGTAGGCTTAGTCCTCGCTGGTTCCAGCGGCGGTCACGGTAGGTCGCTTCACTTTCTCCACTTTTGCAGTCAAAACAGGTGCATTTGTGTGTACAGCACTGTGAGCTGTGATGAGTGCCGCAACAATCGCTGCATCTAGGTCAGCGGTGCTGTAGTCACAGTCGAGAAATGGACACTGTTCTGCAGGCATTGTTCTTGCGTCACTGTATCTTGATCATAAATAAGAGTTCTATCTATTTGTAAGTATCTTTATTTAACTGTATTACACAATGATCAAGATGATCAGATTTCATACTGTTTGTTCTTTAATATAACAAATGCTTTTTTAATGATATTTTTTACAAAAAATCTGGAGTAGCAAAACATGCGTTTAAATTGTAAATTCTTTCTTTCTCTACAAATTCACATACAAATTCGTACTAAGTTCATCAATAAAACTTTTCAATTTGTTCTTGAGTAGATGTCTGTTACAGTAGTGTGGAAATGTTAAACCATGAAAGTTATGATGAAAACATATCAAAAGTAAGAAAAGTAATCATTACCAGTAATATATAATTATGGGCCGAGTTGACCCGTGCTGAGTTGGAATAGGGCCAAGCTGACTCGAGGGCCAAGTACGTTTTAGGGCCGAGCTGACCCTGATTCGAATTTACAGTGTTGACTTTTGTGTAGGAGTTGCTTTTTCATATCTATTGTATATAGACTATCTATTAACAAAGAAATAAGTTTAATAATATATTTAACTGTTGTTACAATTGATATTCGAGATCACTGTATCAAAATTTATCTCGGCCCTCCTGAAAAAAATTTTTATTTGGCGAGGTCTGAGGACCGACAGCATTTTTCGCACAGACTGCAATTTGCAGTTGGTATAGTAATTTTTAGTGTTTGATGATCAGAAGATTTGTTCCTTCTTGAAAATCATGGACTTGAATAATTCAAATCTGTGTGAAAGCGCAAAGAGAAAGAGACTGAAAATTAATTTATTATTTCTATGGGCAATATAGATGTAATAAATTTGTAATCAAACATGTGGGTCAATTTTCAGCAGTAGTTGAATCATGACAAAGTATTTTTAATCATTTTTTTATTTAACTTCTGGCTACTTGAAAATTTCATGCTGGATGTTTGCTTACCATTACTTTTTGCATAATAGCTCTATGATTGACACTAAAGTCCACGGGCCAATTCATTTCTGATATATCTATAATCTTTCCGATATCTTGTTATAATATAAATGACTGAACATCATTTTAGAATTATTAGGAAGAAATACATATGTTCATTCTTTGTAAAAATATTAGAAGACTTGCAAGTTACCGACTTAATCATTGCATTTATTTATTATTGAAAAAATGCTTAGTCTCAACAGTGTTTATAGGCTAGAATTTTCAGTTTGCATTAGGGCCAAAATATATTGTTTGTCATGACGGCTTACCTATTGCTGTAAACAAACTTTAACCTTGTTCATAACGTTTTCAGATCTTGGTGTATTGTCTTCATACATGGCCACAACAACCCTTCAAATAGACCAGACTAAACTAAATTAACTTGACCACCATATTAACATTCAAGGTAAATGTCTAAATTTTCTTGATTTTGCTATTAGTAGCTATAACTTTGTTGTTTTTTGAATGGATTTTGTCTTCAAACTTGAACAACAATCTTTCAGGATAGGACCTGACTCACTCATAAATGTCTTTGAAGCTTTTGTGATCAGAAGTTGTACAGAATAATACAACCCAAAAACAATTTCATTTACTTGGTTTTGCAACTTCTGAGACAATGGATTTTTAAAGATAGTTGTTTTCTTGAAATTTAAGGAGAGTATAGTAGATAGTAAAGGACATTTAATACATACTGTATATTACACTATAATTACTTTAGTGTCCAACTTAATGTGTCATCCAATGAAAACGCTGTATCTCTTAAAAATTTGTGTGCGTTAATTTTCATAGAAGTACAAAAAGTCGATACTATATCGAATTACCCTCCATAGTCCAACT